TTTTTTTTTTGGGTCCTCCGCGTGTGGACATTTGATGTGCTATGTGTACCATTTAAAATCATGTTTCTCTTGGTTCCAAATCCCAACAATTCGATGATTGAATTTTGATTCAATTAAATTTTGTAAACAAGTTAGGTCGAGCTTGAATTTGGGCTCTAGTCTTCATCAAGTTTTGCTCTTTAATTAGTTGAATGGGTAAACTAGTTCGAGTTCTGTTCGTATACCAATATTAACAGGTCGAACTAATTTGAGTTTCACTGAGTCGAGCTATAAAGGTGTGATTGGATATAAATCTTGATAGGTTCGGATTGGTTTTTTATTTTTCTTGTTAATTTTGAGAGAGTTTGTTTGGTTAAGTTTGAGTGGGATTTTGAGTTTGTATTAAAATAATATTTAGAATATAATAATTAAAATTAATTTAATGTAAAAGTAGGAGATATATAGGTTACTGAAAGTGATGAATAATTAATGTAACGTGTGAGGATGATTGATTTACTATTTAATTGTATTGATAATCTATCTATATATATATATATATATATAATTACTAGCCAATAGCATTTAATAAAACCTATTTAATTTTACCTATGTGACAACTTATCTTTTTCCCTCAAAAAACTGTTACTTTTGATGTATTCAATCTTTCATTTAATTATTAAATAATAAACACTAATCACTTCAAAATTACAAAATTCATTTTAAACTTTTGATTACTGACAGTTGACCATATAATGTGTTAACCGTATAATGTGATTAGATAAAAATTGAAGTTGAGTTAAATTTGAGCAAATTTGAGTTGTGATTGAATTTTTTTGTATACAATCACCCTAAAAAAAAATTATTTCCATCCTAAAGAGTCTTAAACGAGTTTGAGTTCTAGTTTTAACGAGTTAAGATGGTATCACAAACGACTCATTTAATATAACAGTCTTAATGTGTCAATTAACTTTGGAAAAAAATTGTTATTATTTACTATATGTTTGGTAGTTTGGTACTTGTTAGTGAAATATAATTATCAAAATTTCCTCATCTGTATATTTTCTTATTTTTTTTTTCTAGTACTCCGCGTTTGAACATTTTGATGTGTTATGTGTACTATTAAAATCATGTTTCTCATTGTACCAAATCCTAACAACTCAATGATTGAATTGAATGCAATTATAGGTGTAAACGAGTTACATCGAGATGAAACACGAGCTTAAGTCTTTATCGAGCTTAGCTCTTTAATTAACTGAATTAGTAAACGAGTTCAAACCCTGTCAATTTATCAAATTGAGCAAGTCGAATTGAATTTATTGGAGCCAAACTGTAAAGAAAAAATCATAATTTCGAGCTTAATAAGCTTCATATGTGTTCAAGCTCTAATCTGAATGAATCGAGTTGCGCTCACAAACAACTCATTTCGTTTAACAGCTGTAAGTGGCAACAACTATTAGAAACTTCTAACATAAAATTTTATAAATGTCCAACTTTCATAATTTTTTTTTTTGGGTTATTAATGTCTATTTTTATTTTGTAGCTAGAATTTTATTCTTTAACAAAGATGAATGAATTCACTTGTATGGATACGAAGAAATATGCTGACGCGATAAAATTTATGATTTTATCAGTAACTTGTGGCTTTTGTTCTTCTGTTTTGGCACTTAAAAGAAAATCAAAAGAAAAGGGATTTCCCAATTTTTAGTTTATGGCTACAGTTGTGCACTGAAAAGCTATTACTATCATTTATTAGTGGATAAGAAACTTTTGGAATAACTCCCCTCAAAATAGGGATTCTATTAATTTCCATATATATAATCTAGATAAATGCTATCGTCCCATAGCGAAATCATTCTGTTAAAGTTTATAACCGTTAAATCAACATATAACAGCCGGGAATAGTTGATCTAACAGCTACAAATCTCGACGTAAGGTTCTGTAACGAGACCGTAACATTTCCCTATAATCTATTCTAAAAAATTATGAACC